GATAGATAGATAGATAGATAGATAGATAGATAGATAGATAGATAGATAGATAGGAAAGACAGAAAGACAGATGATAGAGTCAGATAGATAGATAGATAGATAGATAGATAGAGATAGAAATAAAGATGATAGAGATGATAGAGATAAAGATACAGATGAGTGGATGGATAGGTACATAAATATGTAAACGATGGATGGATAGATGGATGGATAGATAGACAGACAGACAGATAGACATAGACGAGTGGATGGATAGGTACATAAATATCTAAATGGATGGATGGATAGATGATTGATAGGTAGATAGATTGATAGATAGATGAGTGATGGATGGATAGATATGTAAATATTAGATAGACGGACGAGTGGATGGATGAGTAAATAGATATGTAAAAGATGGATGGATGGATTAGATAGATGATAGATAATAGGTGAGTAATGGATGGATAAATATGTAAATAATAGATGGATGTGGATGGATGCATAAATAGATATGTAAAAGATGGATGGATTACACAGACAGACAGACAGATATAGAGATGTTCATCATTCTATGTCGGTGAACATTGGAACCATTCTCTATCCTTTCCCAGAACAACCAAGAATTGTTGCTTATGAACACACAGGTCACTTGTTTTGGCAAACTGCAGCCCTGTTGACTCCAGCATCAACTGTTGGCCATTTAGGGCAACATGACCATAAATATCAAGGACATAATGAAAGCCATCCCCATTACCCTCCATTAATGATTGACAGAAGGTAGGCATGGAAAGGACATCGCTTATCTTCTTTGGAGCCTTCACAAGCTCAGAGTCCATTGTACCTTCAAACAAGAAGGTTCTTGAGAACCTCTGTTGGGTCACTCAACACAGTAAGCTAAGTTTACACAATATTTTTTATCTGAATTGTGGCTTTTGTATAATTCTAGCCCAATGAATATTTTCTTGGAAAAATGCCTCCTAACTCCCCAGTTCTCTCTGGTGTGTTTCTCCCCCACTGGGTCAAACTATTGCTAGTCAGTACTAACTGGAGATCTTGCCACGTCAGCAATCAAACAAGGATTAGTTGATATTTCTTGGGTTCATCTGTTGACCTGGGAAGGCAAAAACTCCCTGGATGTGAGCTCTGCAAGTTGGAGATCCCTGCTGTAGACGCACAAACGCATCAAAATGGTCATTGCAAGAGCATTGTGCTATTTTAATACAATGTTCCACAATTTGAGCAATTTTAACATACGTGGATTTCAACTATCAGAATTCCATACTACTTGGGGAATTGTGGGAGCTGAAGTTCACACACCCCAAAGTTTAGTAGCTTTCTTGCTGGGGAATTCTGGGAGCTGAAGTTCACACATCTCAAAGTTTACTAGCTTGCTGGCTGGGGAATTCTGGGAGCTGAAGTCCACATATCTTTACACTATCAAGGTTGAGAAACATTGATTTAAAACGCTTGGGATGATCTGACTTGTAGCCAGGAGTGGGATTCTACAGGTTCGCACCTATTCACTAAAACCGCTTGTTAACATTCTAAGCAGTTCGGAGAACCGGTTGTTAGAAGAAATAACTGGCCTAATCCTGTAAGGAAGGCAGGAAGGAAACATTCTGGTGTTGCTTACAGAAACTGCCTCTCCATTAACCCTTATTACATTCTTGGCAGGACTGGACTTCCTGTCTCTGGAACTTCTCTGGAGTTTTCTTTCCCCCTTTTGCTGGTACTTTGCTTATGTGGAGTGACCATTCAAAGTTACAAGGGCACTGAAAAAAGTGACTTCTGACCATTTTTCACACTTACGACTGTTGCAGCAGCCCCACAGTCACGAGAGGCCAGGCGAGGAGATGTGTGCCTCGATGTGAGTGATGTTGAGTTGGCCACACTCAGCCAATAACATGACCACCAAGCCACGCCCACCAACTAAGCCACACCCACAGAACCGGTTGTTAAAAATTTTTTGAATCCCACCCCTGCTTGTATCCCAAGCTTGTCCCAGGTTGACCATCTTCTCTGGTCTGGGATGAGGTTGTGTTTTGTTTTTTTTTCCCCTCATGTAGAACTTCAGGGACAATGGAATTTCCCTCAACAAGGAGGACACCGAGACAAGGCCTGTTCATGTCATGCTGTGTTTATTGTTCCAGAAAGTGGATAATAGTTACAATGAGGTGCAGGGCTGGCTCAGCGGAGCCATACCAGGGTTCTTCCTCGAGCGAGCCTATCCACTTCTTCTTCTAAGTTTACCATGCCCTTCGCCCACAGTCTCAGACAGCTGTGGGTGTCCATTGGGGACCTTCAGTGCTTCATGTTCTTTTGTATTGTGCTGGAAATGCTAGCCAAGCTTTGCTCACCAGCCAAGGACATCAACTTGTTGCCCCTCTCAATGGCAGGTTCGATCAACCCTTCGTTCACCGCTTGCACAGGAGGCAACTTCTTAATCCCATCTACCATGTCCGCCACTTTCTGTAATTGATCCTTCACCGCCTCCTTGCCTTGATTAAGAAGAGACTGGCCATACTGTTGAGCATCCTTGACTAAGTGAGTAGCCTTGCGGTTAAAATATTTGGGTGGGATGTGTTTTTTCCCCGTTTCTGCTAAGTAGGCCAGAGCATCAGAGAGATGTCCTCTGTGGAAGAGAAGACTTATTGTTACTTAATGTTCAACACATTTAATAATTGATATGAGCGATGGTGACAACATAGCCATTACATACTTGAGCTTTCTATCCTCTTAATCTCCCCACCACCACATTTATTTACGATCATACAGCATGTGAATTTCATTGTTTTAAAAAATCATCTTCTGACATGGGAAACCTTAATGATATCCAAAATGTCTTTTTTTTTTTTTAAGTGTCCTGAGAATTGGACAACCATTTTTTCTGAAATGGTGCAAGGTTTCCCGTCCAAGCAGTGGGTTGGACTAGAAGATCTCCATCTTAAGTGAAAAATGCCCATATCACTTTTTTTTCAGTGTTGTTTTAACTTCTGCAGCGATTCACTTAACAACAAATGTGGCAAGACAGGTTGTAAAACGGGGCAAACCTCACTTAATAGCTGTCCTGCTTTGCAAGTTTTTGAAAAATTGGACTCAATTGTGCTCATAAGTTGAGGATAAGATGTCATCTTTGCAGGGTGCCTTTTCAATGTCTTGAGGTTACAATTCCTAAGTCCCATTTCCAATGGTCCCTAAGTGGACTGTTGTAAGTCGAGGTCTACCTGTACCTGGTTTGATTTGACGGACTCCCAAATGTTCTGAAAATGAGTGGACTTCAACTCCCAGAATTCCTCAGCTGGCATT